ATATATATATATAAGTTTTCCATGTTTGCAGTATATTATTATGTAGATATCGAATCTGGGTAGCATATTTATTTTAATATTATGAACATATGTATTATAAGCGTCGTTTATTAATTTTTATTTTTTTGCATATTATTTTTATATTAACCGTATATTTGTACTATATATATATATATATATGAATATATATATATATATATATATTTATATTATTATTTTTTTGCATATTATTTTTATATTATTTTTTTGCATATATATATATATATATATATATAAATATGCGCGCGCGCGTTAGCATGTATATTTATATCAAATAGATTACTAACTTTTGTGTACTGTGCATTCATCGTTTTTTATATATAAAATAAATATTTTTTTCTATTATATATGTATATAAATATATTTTGTTTCCGATATATTTTGTAGGACTTGTTTTAAAATATTAAAATAAATATTATTTTATTCAAGGAACCTATGGAAATGTCTCTTAGCTAAGGTGAAAGATGTTTCTAAGGATTGTTTGTACTAAGTAGTATTTTTGTTCGAATGAGCTTTTTTTAGTATATTAAATATGTATTTTTTTATCTAAAAATTAAGTCAATTTTATTTTGTGAAGAGAAACCACGAAAACGCGCCTTAACTAGCATAAAGAGTGTTCTCGAGGATTCTTCATACGAAGTGACATTCTTTTTTGTTATTCTAATATTTTTCGAACATATTATATATATATATATATATATATATATATATAATAATTTAATATGCAAATTAAGTGAGGAATACATGGAAATACGTCTTAACTGACGAGGAGTGTGTTTTCGATAATTGCTCGTATAAAAAATATCCTTTTAATATTTTTAATTTAATTTAATGAAAAGTATCATGATTTAAATACATATTTAAGTTTATAAAATTTCAATATATAGATGACGTATAATCATTTAGGTATTGATTTTTGTTGTTGTGGATTATTTACCCTTTCTCATGCGAAACCAACTCCCGAGTCTTTTTTCAAAATGATTTTCTGGTTAAATGCATATCAGTTTTATCTTTTAACTTAAATTTACTAAAAATTATTTTAAAATATATTTTTTATGTATTTGACATACTTAATTCTAAATTTATTTTTACAAACCCTAATTTTAAAAATTAAGGTGGTTCCATCTACGACCTAAAGCAAGTCAAAAAAACTTAGGATCGTTATGACATAAAAAAACAAAATGGCAACAAAAGCAAAACATGCAAAAAATAATAATATTAATAGAGGGAAACACAATTGAATCCATAGCAAACCGGGAAACAGTTTCCCTGTCAACAGCCAAAACCCAGTGATTCTGGGATCGAATGGGATGTCAAAAATTTCATGTCAAAAGAGGACCCCTTGGTGTTATACAATATCCTGCGAAAGAGACAAAAGAAAAGGGGGGGGAGATAAGCTTTTCAATATTCGAAACCCATAAATCACAAAAACAAATCAAGAAAAGAGGGAGAAAGACTTAGCTTCGAATGTTTCCCTGTCAAGAAGGAGAGGTGTCATCGTCTTGAAGGTAAAACCCCGTCGGAAAACATAAGATCGTCGGAGGGAATGTAAAAGTCGAGACTTATTATGGTATATTTAGGCCGAGAGACTCTTTCAATGTGAGTTTGGGGGACATGTTAAGACTTGGGGGTTGGGAGCTTTCGAAAGAGGAGTTTTTGGGTACTCTGACCACCGTGGGTGGTGGTTAGAATGACATCCAAGCGGTAGTGTTTCATCGGAGGGAGTCACCAGCTTCTGGAATAGGGATAGCTCTTGAGAGAGTTTGAGCGTTTTTTAAAGGGAAGGATGAAATGAAACAAAAAGAGAGGGAAGTGGTTTGTATTAGGGGTGTGAAAAAAACCCGATCCGACCGATTTGATCCGTTGATCCGATCTGAAAATTCGAATATCCAATCTATTTTTTAATTTTCGGATAGTTCGGATTAGGTATCCGAATTTTTTTTCAAATTTTCGAATCGGATATGGATCGATCAAAATTCAATTTCGGATTATCCAAAAACCAAAAAAAAATTGGACTATATTATTAGCCCAGAGCTGTTTGGACTATATTAGACATTAGTAGGTTTCAAACTTTGTTCTGCCATTTACTCTTTTTTTACTTCTCCCCGAAATTTCGTCAAGAAATTCGATTGTTTCAAACCCTCATTTCATTTCTCTGTTGTGGGCTGTAATTTTTTTCTATGAAGCCATAGGATCTTTGGTTTTTTGCAATCTTATTTGGTGGTCCAAGTAAAATAGTGACTAATTTTTTAATGCGTACTGAAACGGATCTCTTTTTGTTAATGCAAAAGATTGTGTTGAAGCTGGATTTGCATGACGACAAAGCCAAGCACAAGGCTTTCAAAACAGTCTCAACTCTTTTAGGTACATACATGGTCTTTATTATTATGCATTTACTTGTAGTAAAACATAAAATTATGGGACTTGTTAATTGGATTGTTATTTGTTAAAAAAACCCTCATCTGTCAATGACTTGGGGATCTTGATGACAACAAATTCTTCAACTCGTCAGTGATTGATTCTTAATTCATGTAATTTCTACATGTTATGTTGTTCTTTTGACCTGGCCATGTTGATTAGCATGTTTTCTCATTGCCTTGCCTGATAGGAATTGACTCCATTGCCATGGATATGAAAGCGAAGCAATTGACGGTGATCGGAACGGTTGATGTTGTGAACGTGGTGAGCAAATTACGCAAGAACTGGTCGACCAGTATAGTATCGGCCAACGAAGGTGCCGGAGAAGAAGGAAGAGCCAAAGAAAGAAGAGGAACCCAAGAAGGAAGAGGAACCCAAGAAGGAAGAACCGAAAAATCATAAGAGCTAAACTGGGAAATCATAAGAGCTATTAAGTGTTTCTTATTTGATTAATGTTTTTATTATGTTGAATTTTTTTAAATTTTTTGAAAAAAAAATGGGATTCGGATCCGAATATTCGGATATCTGATTTTTTCGGATCGGATACGAATCATTACTTTAAGCATCTAAAATTTTTGGATATCCAAAAATTCGGATCGGATAATATCCGATATCCGATAATGCACACCCCTAGTTTGTATACCCCGTGTTTGAGGTTTTTAGGGTAAAATTTCATCCGCCACCCCCTTGTTCATAAACCTTTTAATTTAGTTCTTCTCTACATGGATTTCTAATTATCTCTCAAATTGGACCATTATATTTTTACTTCTTTGTAATTCAATCCTAATGAATAAAATTAACATTTAGTTATTTATTTATTATCTAAATCGGTACATTAATCCTTTCTTTTGTTTTTAGTAACATTATTTTGTTGTTTTTTTTTATTTTTTAACGCTAATTTTAATTTTAAGGAACTTTATCTAGAAATTCTTCAAGGGTAAGTAAATTTGGATCAAACATTTATCTAAATTTCAATTTTCATGATTAAGAAAATCAGATAATTGTGTTGATACCGAAAGGGCTGTACAATGGTGTTCATTCTTTCTCGTTTGTAACCGACTCCCAAATCTGACAATTCTCTAGTAAGATGCAGACCCGATAAAATTATAAGTTTAAGGCGTCCGATCTATCTAACTTAAAAGATCGATGACGAATCCATCACATGATTCAAGTCGAGACGCGAACCCGGGGACATCCGAAGGACCATTGTGACATATCTATCAATCAGAAATGATTTGAGGTCTATTGCTATACAACTTTCTTAAGATAATTTTTCGGCCACTCCTTAATCATCGTTGGTCGTTGTCTCACTGGATACAACAAATAGATGATCAGCTATAGTAGCACAACTGTAGAGATCACGAACTATCACTTGCCTTTGCATATCACCAAAAAAACTAGAGAAAAGGAGAAAAAATTCAAGTTGTTTGAAATTCTTAAATTTTGATATGTTTAACCTAAAATGTTAGGATTTTATTTATAGGGAATTTTCAAGGGAGAATTCATTAAAAATAGTGGTATTCATTAATATTCAAACTCTAAAAGATAATATCTTTTAATTTGAAATATTTAAAAAATATTGATATCTCTTTAATATTCAAATTAAAAAAGATAATAAATATCTTTTAATTTGAATTAATCAGAAAGATATTGATATATTTTAATATCTTTTTAATATTTAAATTTAAAAAGATAATAAATATCTTTTAAACTATGATATTTAGAAAGATATAATTATCCTATTAATATTTTAATTTAAATATAAATAAATATATTTCAATTTAGAATATTTATAAAGATATTAATCTAATTTAATTATTAAATTCATCAATGAATTCACCTAATTTTTCGACACATAATTTATTAGAGTCCATTCTAATTCGGTCTGGGATTTTTTTTTTAAAAAAAATCGAATAATAATACAATTTGTTGAAATCTTTGATCGCGACCTTATGGAAAACAACAGTTGTTAGATTATTACATAAAAATCGAAATCAACATTCACGTTACTGCAAATTAAAACAGAAATTGAAAAAAAAAACATGGAAAACACCGATTTGAAGTTATAGTTTTAAGATAATTTGATCTGTTTACCTGGAAAGAAAAATGGATCAAAGTATGCAGGCAAAATGCACTGGTACAAAAAATTTTCACATGCACTAGATCTCCACAATCTAGATGTTTTACTAGAACAAACGATTCATAATATAGTAAATGCTTTTATTTGATTGAAAAAAGAAACAAATTAAGCTTGTTGCATAAAAAAAGAATAGTGTGTACACTAGCAAGTTGGGGTGGAGGAACCCACACTCTCACTCATACAAATTTTCTCTTAAACCAAACAGGTGAAAATGGAGTGAGGTCTTCATTTATTTACCATAAATGAATTGCCAAAGAATAGAAGAAGAGCAGGAGTTCACATGGCAGTCACCTTCAGTTACGTCACCCCCATCAGCCACCAGCAGCAGCAGATAATATTCTAATAATGTAAGAGAGAGAAATGTCCAAAGCCTTCTACATCAATAGGGATCTTTAGGGTCAGAGAAAACCAAAACTAGAAGAACCAAAGCGCCCCACCCCCCAAGAATTTCACCAGCCAAATTATAACATGGGAGGCCATCTAATTTTGTTTTCTTTTTATTCCTATAGGGTCTGTGTCATTGAAGACAATGGGGGTGATCTAGTCGGTTTCTAAAATACCCTTTACCATTATTATGCATCACCTATCTTTCTCCCATGCAACATGAAAATGAACGGTTAATGGAATCTCAAAGTGAGCATCAACCATCCTTCTTTAGCCACCTTTCCATTACAATTTCACCTAAGAAAATTATAGCTTGCTTTAGAGAGAGAAATAGATTTTTTTACTAATCCTGTGTTGGGTGATTGTTAAAGGGTCAATTTTTTGTCTATAAATGTCCATCTTCTGAACCAAAAAACTTGCTCCTTTTTTTCCCAACTCAAAACTGTTGTTCGAGCACCAGAAAGCTCAATTTCTCATAGCTCAATCCCTTGCCAGGTTTGAGACCATAAGTTGTTTATCTTAATTCATCAAAGCTTGTTAATCCGTCAAGGTAATTTATACATTCAAGTTTGAAAAATCTTTGGGGTTGGGTTGTTTCAGATTTTGAGGCATGGAATTCCCTGATGTAGAACCAGAAGGCTCTTCCCAGAAAAAGATAAGAAGAGGCAAAATTGAGATTAAGCGGATCGAGAACACCACTAATCGGCAAGTTACCTTCTGTAAGCGACGCAATGGACTGCTCAAAAAGACCTATGAATTATCTGTGCTTTGTGATGCTGAGGTTGCTCTCGTAGTCTTCTCCAGCCGCGGCCGTCTCTATGAATATGCTAACAACAGGTTTCCCTTCAACCCCTTTCTTTCTTCTGCAAGTTTGTTGATTTTTTGTTTCATCCTAGTCCATTAAAGATGCCCTTTTTATCAACAAAAGCAGATGCATTTCTAGTCCATTAAAGAAGCCCTTTTTATCAACTTCTCTAAACCTTTTTGATTATGGGTTGTTCTTCCATTGCTTGTTGATAGATATGCAGATGATGATATGAAGTAATGGGTGCAAATACAGTAGTATTTAAAGAGCAATAAACTAGGGTTGTAATGATATATATGGGTGAAACTGAAAGCAGGTTCTCTTTCCTTGATTCTTACTCTTTATTCTCTCTCTTTCTCTCCATCTACCACACTTGCAGAATATTCTGCTAAATCATAACTTGTGTCAAGCTCTCATTAGCCCACTCCTCATATCTTCCATCTCTTTTGGGTTGTATGGATATCTTCCATCTCTTTTGGGTTGTATGGATTAAGTCATTTTTGTCCCTCTTGTTTCACCACTATAATCAGATGACAGAGTTTAAGGTAATGATCATCTAAGGGATATGTGACAAATGAAAAAAACCAAGTCATTCAAAATCAGATTTTTGAATTAGGGTTTTTCCCAATGGGTTGTTTGACTCAATAAATCTAATGTTGACCTCTTTAGTTATGGTAAAACAATGGGTCAAATCAAATAGTAGGCTTCTTGAGTGCACAAGGCTAGGGTTTCTCATAAGAATCTTTGGTCAAATCAGACAAGTTTACTTGTTTTTCATTTTCTTGTTAATATTTTAATCCCAAGGTTAGAAAAATAAATATTCTAATAGGTAGGCGTAGCATTATGATTTGAAATGATGGAAGTGAGGGAGAGAAACAAAGGGTACGAATCACGGGGTCATCTGCATGCACTTTCACTGCTACTGCAACTGCTTCAATTCTCACTCTCATCACTTTATAGTTATCATACTGCATAGCCGTCTCATGCATTTTCAATTTAAAAAAGAAGCCACATTTTATGTTAATTTAGGGTATTTTCACTTTAAAGGATATTAGAGGGGATTTGGGGGGGGGGGGATAGATTTCTGGATATTTTCAAGAATTTGTGGTTATTACATGTTGTGGATTGCGGTAGAGGCCAAAGTAACTCACATTTTTCATGAAAGTAAAAATAAAACACTGGTATTTTAAATTCTGATATTTACAAATGAAAAATTTGAGTTGGGACTTAGAAGGATCACTTTCATAATTGATCTATATAAAATCTTATTTAAAATAGTCGATCAATTGATCACATATCGATAGTTTAAAAAAATAAAAGTAAAATCACGACAGATACAAAAATTTATATAAGTGGGTGCGAACTTAAAAAGTTATATTAAAATATTTAGGGAATGTGGAGTTATCAAATTATAGAGAGTGCGAAATTAGATAATTAATAGAAAATATAAAGAAAAAATCAAAAATATAAGGGAATTTAAAAATTATAAGGGAAGGAGTTTAAAAGATTTTAAAAATTAATGATATGAATTTTTTTTAATTAATAGGGACCATAGATAACATGGTAGAAAGAGTCCATAGAAAATTTTATCGAGGTTGATGATATACAGTTTGAGGAATGCCGTAATTGTTATTATTATTATTATTATTATTATTGGTATTTAGATGCATATAAGAAAATCATAGCGTGCCAACTTGCGTTGGATTGATACAATTGATTAAATATTCATTAACGTCTTTGTAAAAGCTAAGAAGAAAATAAAACAAAAAAATAAGCATTGAAATTGTCCATTTTGGTGCCGTATTGGACTAGTTTATTGTGATACATATGTATGCAATATGTTGGCAGTGTAAGAGCAACAATTGAAAGATACAAGAAAGCATGTTCAAATGGTACAAACCCAGCATCCGTTGCTGAAGCCAACATTCAGGCAAGTTGTAATTTACCTTTAACTTAGTTTTGTGTTTTCCTTCTCAAGCAGTCTCCATGCATTTCTTATAAAAACACAATCATCCAACTATATACACTACTTTGATATACTAAATCTGGTCCTATGTACAAAAAAAATGAACCCAGTTCTACAAGCAAGAAGCCACCAAACTCCGACGACAAATTCGTGACGCTCAGAACATGAACAGGTAACCATCATCAATTAATTCTTCTTCATAAGCTCTCTATATGTACATATAAACGATGGGTGTAATTTGTTGCAGACATATCCTAGGTGAGGCTCTTAGCTCGTTGACCTTTAAGGAACTCAAGAACCTGGAAGGCAGACTGGAGAAAGGCATTTGTAGAATTAGATCCAAAAAGGTTATTTTTTCTCTTTTAATATTTACATCTTAATTTCTTTGTTTATTTTACTGAATAAAATTGGCCGATTCACTCACCGTATTCTTTAACTCTTATCAGAACGAATTACTGTTCGCAGAAATAGGATTCATGCAAAAGAGGGTAATTTTTTCATCCCTATTTTTACATCTTTATATTAGTATGTGTGTGTCAGTTAACTCGTAAACCTTGTATATAGATAGTTTGCAGCACTCTAAAACTCAAAATATATATATATATATACAAGATTTATTGATATTATCAGGCCCCAAGAATTTCAACTTGACATATTTCATTTTCATCTTCAGAATCTTTAATTTGTTGCTATATATTTCGTAGGAAGTTGAACTGAAGAATGACAACATGTACCTGCGAGCAAAGGTAAGCCTCTGTCTGTCTAGTATCAAATATAGATGCAAGGAGTTGGATCATGTTCATAGTCATCATCATCACCTTCTGAGTTAATTATGTATGCATGCAGATAGCTGAAAATGAAAGAGCGCGAGAACAATCAAACCAGCTGATGCAAGACTCCTACAATTGCAACTTTCTGCCACTAAACCTGGTGGAACCTAGTAATGATTACTCCAACCAACACCACACTGCTCTTCAACTTGTATAAGCTTCCTTCTCCCTTCCATCCACAATTCCAGGTTAGAAACTATATGATCTCATCTAGCCATCATTATATTCATTAACCACTTTGGGTGTTCCAAAAAGCTGTGAATGAATGGAGTATTGTTATTAGTAACAAGTGCATGCATGCAATCACAAAGGAAATGATATGGTGAAAACTACTACCTTAAGTTGAATTACGTTTGTACAAACAATGATACATTTGGGAAACAGTCTGCCCTTTGGAACCATACCTTGTCAATTAATGCATATGCATTAAGTTGAAAAAGGCTATACTAATTGCTATTAACCGTTAAATTTAAAAAAATTATAGTGTAACGTGTAGGGTGATTTCCTCCAGTTCTTAAAATATTGCTCACATTCTGATGCATATTTCTTTCTGATTATTTGTTTTCATTTTTCTGCAGCTGACATGCAAGCAGCAGCCTCCGATGGTTCGACCAACTTTATCTCTGATTAAGCATATATATATATATATAGTTTATAAAGAGTTGAACACTTTCTGTTGGTGATGATGCAAAGAACTTGGGATTTCTTTCAACTGTTTTATTGTTTATTTGTGTTATAAGCTTCTTAATTAAAGTTCTTGATATACAGAACATGGTTGATTTTTCACCCCTTCTCTGGTTAAGAATATATTTTATGATTTATGAGCAATTTTGATTTCGCATATTATGTGCAAAATTTTAGCTTTTTCCCCCTGAAAAATAGTCATCTTATGCTAGGCATTTGCAGAGTTCAAGGGATATGTTAATATGTTTAAAACCATAGTTAACTCACAAGCTGGTCTTAAAAGGTGACAATCAGTAGGGTTGGGGTATATTATTTTTACAACGTTGATAATTTGTTTCCAAGTAAATTTTCGTGTATTACTGTCATTTTTCATGTAGTTTCGTATTCGATTATTTTTTATGTTGTATTTATATGGTATTTTAATTCATTTAATTTTAACTTTAAAATCCGTTTACTTAAAAATGAATTATTACATTTATCATAAATTTTAATAACAGAAGTTGAAGTTTACTTTTGTTATAGCTTTCTAGCTCTAAATGTTACCTACATAAGAACAAAGTAGATTAAATATTAAGAATAAAAATCTGATGAATTGAATCCTCGATAAAAAGACAGTATATAGACCTGTACAATTTGACCAAGACAAAACACACCTCTCTTCTGAGGATTCATACAACCTCTCTTCTGAGGATTCATACAACTACAAGTTGTGAAGCAATAGAGTGGGGGGACAACTAGATAAAAGAGTTTCACCATTTATATAAAGTAATTCCAATTAACTGATGAAATGCTTAAAATTTACAATTTTGTTTAACACCAACATCGATATAACATAATATTATGATTAATTAATTACATTATTATATTATCTAGATGGTTGAAGATCCTTACTATATCAAAGTTATGGATTTTCCTACTATATGCAGAGACTGAAGGCAAAACCTTCTTCCCTCTGTCCTCAATCTGAGATGTGTAAAAGTCAGATAACTTCCTGCTCTGACCTTAACGCAAAACCTCACATTTCCGAATAAAGCTGTTCGAGAAATTTACATGTCTGCTCCAAAGGCTTCGTACTTCTGGAGAGCCAGTCTCGAGCCATGGCTTGGCAGGGCCAGTGAAATGCAACACAGCAGCAGCCTCCAATATCTGTCCCTGAGCCGAAGAGGAACGATACCCTAAACCAGCCACTTGCCATAAAGGATCAATAGGATGCACGTATCCCTCGAAGGCAAGTAAGCTTGGTGGAAGCACTCCCGGTTGCCACAGAGTGAACCCTGAATTGAGACTCTGTACAAAACAGATGGTATCCGATTCCAGAAATTAAATGGACCCAAAACCAAAACAAAAAAAAACATTGATCACTAAAATAGCTGAATCAGAAGTAGACGATTTACTTACAAGTTTCAACCATTTATGATAAGATGATGTGATGTTGGTCCTCCTCCAAGCTTCAAGATCGAAGACGTTCATACCAGAAAGCCATGCACAACGATCTTGGTCGAGGTTGGATGAAATTGTCGGGTGAGAAAAATTCAAGTAGTCCTTGTATTTTCTTCCTGGACAGCAGTTGTCCCCACACCATGAGTCAACAACGGCGCCAACGACTTTCCCATTGAGATCCAACCTCCACAAAGATGAAATGTCATGTTGTACTACAACATCATCATCCAAGAATACTATCTTGTTGAGATCCGGAAACAGCTGTGGAACCCAAGAAAGTTGGAACATATCAATATCAACTGAATTTTAAGGTTCGAAACAAATCACTTATCAGAAAATTCAATGCAGAATTAGTGTAATTACTTCAGGGATATAAATGCGGAGATGATTCATAAGGGACACGCAGCTAGGGCTTAAAGCCTCAAAAAAATTTTGATGCTCTTCCCAATATTCAAAGTTTTCTTCTTTCAGATTATTGTAGTGATGACTACAAATCAAGTGATGTATTTCCAACATCTGCTTAACTCCAACATTCACCTCCTGAGACCAGTCATATTGATGTAATCCCTTAACTTCCACTACGGCTAATTTCAACGAATTTATTGCGAACCAGGCATGCATTGAGCTGTAAGTTTTCTTGTCTGTTACTATGTGAAACACCAATTTTTCAGGATTTGCTGCTTTCTCAACTGTAGAGGATATCACAACTGAGGCTGCCAGGACATTGTCTGTTAGAAGCACAATATGGTGAAAGGATGTGTCAGAAAGGAGAGAAACATGTTCGGGTGGAGGAAAACGAGAGCGGGCCATTGCATTTACAGCATACTCTTCTGCCAATTTCAGACACAGGCAATGTAGGCTCTTTGGGACACCCCTTGAAGCTAAATACCAGTATATTAACTCGCGCTTCTTTGCTGACTGGACCTTCTGCTCCATATCTAAAAGCTGGGAATAGAAAAGTGGAAGTACTTTGATATATTAGAGGAATGTCGAAGTGTTTACATATATTGAAAGTTACATACTGAAAAATGGAAAAATATATAACTTATACAAAGAATTTCCTTATACAACTCAACGTAGTAATAAGCATTCATGCCATATGCATTAATAAGCACATACAACCAAATACAGACTACAAACCTGATTTAGTTAGTAAATCAAACCAGAATGCAAGGTATTAAGATAAAATAAATGTTCATTGAAAGAAACAAAAATTAGCACAACACATGGGCATCTTCACTGGGGTTCAGAAGAATGAAAGGAAAAATTGCTGTCAAAACTATTTTGTCATAACATTAATCTATATAGAAAAAAAATATTGTCAAAGCACATCAGAAATTGGTCCTTTGAGATTATATCACCAATCAAGAACTCTGACCAATGTCCCTTTACCATTGATGCTAGACAACAAATTGACTAAAACCAAACACAAAAGCCTCATCATGGTGTCCTATAAAAGCCTTTTAAACCCAAAAGTAACTCAACCATTTGGCAAAATGGTATACTCCATCTTACTGGTTGAGTCGGTTATTTTGAACTTTGAATAAAAAAGGATCTCCTTCAAGTAATACTTACTAGTTTTCAAATATACCTACCGATTTCTATAAAAACACTATGAGATGCACATAAACTTTTGACAATAAAGAGGAAAAGTCCTTTATAAAAAGCCTTTTAAACCCATAAGTAACTCAATCATTTGGTATAATGGGATAATCAAAGTTGATGGCTGAGTCGGTTATTTCTAATTTTGAATAGAAAAAGGATCTCCTTCAAATGATACTTGCTAGTTTTGAAATATACTTGTTAATTTTAATAAAAGAAATACTAGAGAGATGCACATGAACTTCACCAACACAAAAACCTCGATACAAATTAGTAATTAACAAAAAGGGAAAATTTAGAAACAAATATATAAACATAATCCCCTGAAGAAATTTGTACTCGTTAAATATAAAATAGAATGCAGTAAACATGCTAAACAGAATGCAAACACCCTTAGTTCAGAGGAACCTATGAGCTTCAAGAGGGAAAACAGTACTTAAATATTTTTTTATTTATAAATTCTTAATTAAGTGTTGTAATTTGATAGTTTAAGTTAAACAAAAGGAAAATCTGGTAGTAGTATCAAAGGTTCCTTAAATCATGTTGATATATTTGTATGATTAAATAACATATTGCTTGCTTGCACAGAAAATGAAGCAGGTGAATCAACTTCAATACCATGGTTTACACAAGAACATAATAAGAGTTGGAAGGAGAAATTTCAGGCCCAATTCATATAGTACTGTCATAATGTAGGGTTTAAAGAGAAAAAGAATGCTGTAGTAGAACCCCTTGTACTGGGGATAGGATGAAAATGTTATATATTCGAACAATCAGGTATTGCTTACAAACTATGAGAGAAAGGTCTTTCGAGCTCAGTATTACTCTATATCTATCTTTTTGACGCACTAGTTCATATCTTGAACAACTTTTCCCAAAAATAAAACTCTCAATTGAAGCTGATCCACAAGAACTGTTAATAGCTCTTAGAAAGAACAAGAATAAAAACAAAATGCATTGGCTACTAGTGGATAAAATGCATCATCAACATCAATTCATCACTCATTTTAACCAAATTTGGTATGATTTAAGGTTCAAAAGTGGTGGTCCTCACATGGCCAGCCTAAATAGTTATATTTAGGATAAATTCATTGAAAACATGCTTTGGCATCTTTTATATTACATCAACATTCAAATGTGAAATGGCTAACCCAAGTTGCAGAAACTGTTTTTGCCGCATCAGAAAAAATGCTTCCATTGAATGAGAGATAATATCTGGTGGAAATCCAAAATGTTATTTAAAGTCTTCAATGACAAAAGGCATCTTTATGTTTGCACAAACAACCAATAAAGACATCAATCAGATAAAATGGCCTAGAAAGTCCAAAGTCCAAAACGAGTGCAATGCACCATCTTTGTCCACATGTAAACATACATCATATGCAATTTACTTCGAAGACATCTAAGTTTAATCTGCCAGGGACTCTGGAGTTATAAATCAAAGTTCCTCTAGAAATCCATTTGAAGGTACATGACCCCTCTTTTCTTTTTCCTTTTTTTAAATAAAAATACAACTATAGCCATCTTAGTAATTAGAAAATTCTACCGACTTCTGAAATGATATAAGGTTTCTATGATCAAACAAGAATTTGGCTCTTAGAAATTTTCTGAAGTGACTCACTCTGAATTTCCAACATGCCAACCTAACAATTACATCAATAAAAGTTGTCAAGAATAAGATGTCCTAGTACTGACCTGTGAGTAATGCATATGCGTTTATCTCTTGCATTCTTCCCTTATTTTACCCATGTCTAATTGCACCGTCCAAATCTCAAGTTTCATTCCCTTGAAGTTGAAGATATGGACTTGGATTTTCCGAAACTCTCGGAGGTTCAAAGTTCGATTTTAGAAAGACCCTTTCGGAGGATGAGATTTGGGATGCAATAGCATCCTCGGATAGTAATAAAGCTCCCGGACCCGATGGTTTGAATTTAGGTTTCTTCAACAACAAAAAATTGGCCGAACTTGAAAGAAGAGATTGTGGCTTTCTTCGAAGAGTTTTACAAGGGGAAGGATTGGAAGAAGGGGGTGAACCATTCATTTATTACCCTTATTCCAAAGAAGGTCAATTCGGATTGCTTGGATGATTACCGGCCTATTAGCCTTGTAGGATGGCTTTATAAAATTCTTTTGAAGGTGTTATCAAGAAGATTGAAGTTATGTATTAATGATATTATTAGCCCTTCACAATTCGCTTTTATTCTGGGGAGAAATTATGGACTGTTTGTTTATTGCAAATGAGGGTATTGAATTTTGGAGGAAAAAAGGGTTGAAGGGGGTTGTTTTTAAGGTGAACTTTAAAAGAGTTTATGATTCTGTGGATTGGTCGATTTTGTTGAGAATCATGGAGAGTATGGGATTTGGTGAGAAATGATGTTCTTGGATTTTCAAATGTGTGTCTACAGCTTCCATATCGGTGTTAGTGAATGGGTCACCTACAGATGAATTTCAAATCGCTAAAGGGCTATATCAAGGTTGTTCCTTATCCCCTTTGTTTTTTAATTTGGTAGGCGAGTTGTTAAATTTGTTGCTTGCTAAAGCAATGAACATTGGGATGTTCAAAGGATTTCAGTTAGGTAATCAAGAGCGTTCTTTTATGCTGTCGCATTTTAAATTTGTGAACGATCTCGTAATTTTCTGCAATGCCTCATTAGGGGAACTGAAGAATGTAAGAAGGGTGTTATCAATCTTTGAAATGATGGTTGGGTTGTAGTTAAATTTAACAAAGAGCAGAATTTTGGGCGTAAACGTTGATCCAGAGTTTATAAAGGATTGGGCTAATGTTATTGGTTGCTCAGTGGGTTCATTTTCGTCCGAGTATCTTGGTTTACTTCTTGGGGCTAAGAGGAATTCAGTGGCTATGTGGGAGTCGATTGTTCAAAGATTTTATAAAAAGCTGGCTGGTTGGAAGGCATCGTCTTTGTCCTTAGCCGGAAGGGTGGTATTGGTGAGATCAGTGTTGTGTGCTCTCTCTATCTACTTCCTTTCTATCTTCCGATTACCAGTATGTATTTTGAATAAGTTAAACTCCAGAATGACAGCTTTTTTTTGGGGGGTAGACAGACGAGAAATATTCATTGGGTAAATTGGGTTTTGGTGTGTAGGCCTAAGAACTTGGGGGTTTAGGAATTCCTAACCTGGACCTATTAAATAGAGCTCTTTTGGTGACATGGCTGTGGAAATTTGCCTGTGAAAAAGAATCTTGGCGGAAAAAGGTTGTATGTTGTGTTAATAATTTGGATAAGAATGCAAGTATGGTGGATAGTTCGATTTCCTCTCGTGCTTCGTGGATTTGGAAAGGAGTGGTAAAAAATTTCTATTCAAGTGACGGTTTTGGAGAAGTCTTAGAAATAATATGCAATTAAGAGTCGGTAATGGAGAGTCTATTTTGTTTTGGCATGACATTTGGTTAGATTTGATTCCACTAAAAGATCGGTTTTCGAGGTTATTCACTCTCTCGTTTAACAAAGGGGGCAGAGTTGCTGATTTCAGGGAAAATACTTTGTCAGGATAAGTTTGGGACTTACAAATGAGAAAGAACCTTACCGATTAGGAGATGGACTAATGGCTCGTGCTTAATTCAATGCTTAGTAAATTTTTATTGTCGCCTTCGGCGGAGGATTGCTGGGTTTGGACAGGGAATGGGGAGGGTTGTTTTTCAGCCAAGTCGTATATTAGGAAATTTTTTGAGAAGTCGTTTGCTAATCTTAATTGGGTCAGACACGTTTGGTTAGGGATAGCCCTCCTTGAGTGGAAACTTTCGTCTGGCAGGTCGTTCATCAAAGATTAGTGGTTAAAGAGGAGTTATTGAAGTGTGGAGTCGCAGGGATCGTGGATCCACTTTGTCTATTGTGTGGCAGGTTTTCGGAGTAAGTTTCTAACTTATTTGTGCATTGTGATGTGGTTGGGGCTTATGGTCTAGATTTTTGCACTTTTGGAACGTTTCCTTTGTTGTTCCGGAGAGTTCGACTGCTTTAATATCTGTTTGGGCAGATCTAGTTCCGCGCTCTACTATTTGGATTTTCATTCCAGGGACGGTAATGTGATCGGTTCGAAAGTGTAGCAATGATATTATTTTTGAGAAAGGAAAGTTGGAGTCAACGCTATTATTTTTTCTTGTAAGATATAGGATTGCAACATGGTTTGTAGCAAGATTTCCGGACTTGGTAATTCCTTTTGACTCTTTAGTGGGCGATCCAAAAGTAGCAAATTCTGCTGTGAGTTCTAAAACGGCCAGTTCTTCCTTGGCACGCTGGGTTCCTCCTCTTTCGGGCTTCTTCAAAGTCAACGTGGACGGTGCTATGGTTCAGGGGTGGTCAAGAGGAGGTATTGGTGGTTTGCTCAAGGACAATGACAATATGCTGCTACGTTTATTCTCAGAGAGTGTTGGTCTTGGGCTTCCGATCCTTGTTGAATTATTGGCTATTAAAGGGGTTTGCTTTTATTTGTGGAGTCCGGTTTTGATTCAAGGGGGAGGCTTATTCTAGAATCGGATTGTTCTACTGCTTTGGAGTGGATCAAAAATCAATGTTGCTGCACTCCGTTGTTTGAGCCATTGGTGAAAAATATTGTTGCTGGTAGAACAGGATGTTATAGTAAGGCATATTTAGAGATCCGCCAATTGGGAGGCGGATGGGTTGGCTAAAGTAGGAATTGGGTGATTCCTGTGTTTTTGGGTATGGGTGATTATGTTAGGTTCTGGGTGTTATGCTGGTTGTTTAGTGTGGGTTTGTATGTTTTGGTCAGTTTTGATTTGAGGTGTATTCTGAAAGTTATTGTTTGTATTGTAGTTAGTATTATATAAATAAAATTGAGGTACTCTTTTCCTCCTTTCAATGTCCGTTAAGCTACTCCTTTAGTTTAAATGTTATGAAGGGAGTTTTAACTTGGCCTCCTATTTTTATCAAAAAAAAAAAAAAATACAAGGCACCCGTTCAACATAAATACTTCCTAAGAAATTACATATGGTCACTATATTCACAGTTTCTTTCGTACTTTTCTAAATGAGTAGAACTCATAACCATCTCACAACCTAGCTTTTCTTTTTTTTCTTCCTCCCCCCCCCGGGTCTTGAGGAAGCTAGAATCCTTCTTTTCTTTTTCTCTCTTGTTGTCTACTTCAATTTAAGCTTGCGATATTTACTGGTAGTTGCAATAAACGGTGGCGCATTGGGTTTGCAAAATTTCCATTCTCTACCACCGGATATTCTCAAGTTAATCCAGGATGATTTAGATGGGGTGGCTGTACCACGCTCTATAATTATGTAATTTTCCAACATTGCGATGTTATAATTAAAGATATTCCTTTTTTACCAAAAAAAAGTCACATAAGACAGTTATGTAGTAAGTGATTATAGTATTGGTTCTGTAATTTAAGTACCATAAAAATTCCACATATATTTCTTATTAATAGGGTAGAGAGTGAATTATTAATTAAGCCTAGCTTTGATTCACATCAATTAAAAAAATAAAAATAAAATGTATAATAACTATATAAATTCAACTTACTACTTAAAATGTTTTAGTTAATACACTTTTACAGCCTTATACACACTAGTACAATGTTCTCTAATAACATTTCGTTGGCTGTATTGAGCACAGTTCCACATAAAAGGAACAGTTATCCCATTATCAATGAAGTTACATAAACTGATACTAATAAGTAATAACTGAAAGAATAGATATGGACATGCCGGTATATAAAGACAAGAATAAACTGAGCAAGAGTAAATTACCATGGTCTTAGTCTTGAAAGCAAAGTCCTTTATATCTTGTTGCTTAAACGTCATCTCCTTCACAAGCTCATTGAATGTTACAAGTGCATCCTCTGTTCCCCCCTCAACAATGTTGCCATCTTTCAATTCCATTAGTGCCCTTGTCAGTTCTTCTCTGGGTTTCTTTATGGTACATGCATAACATCACAATCACAAACTAAATCAAACATGATTAATAACAAGCTAGGAAGTATAAACAAGACACAGAGTTTTATAAAGGTATCATGCAAATAGTATCATTAGGATTCAAATAGCTCAAACTTTTATGCCCCAAACCTCATCATACCCCAAATTGTTCAAATAGAGGTTCTTATACAGTTTTACTTGCCTCATTTTAGGCCACCTATGTCTTTATTTCTCTCTTGTTTTCAATCCGTGTAACATATTTACCTGATACTTCACTTTATACTACCACTTTTTCCAACATTTAACTTCATACTTTTCTTTTATATCTTCCTATTTCCTTCTTTAGAATTTTTAGTTTTGTACATTATTGAGTTCAAATTTGGAAACAATGAAAAAGAAAAGCTTTAACTGCATTCAAACATGTCTTGACCATGTTTTGACATTATCAGTTTTATTATTATTTTTAACATGTAATTGCACTTGCAATACGTATTTTGTCAAGTTAGAAGTTAGAACTCGAAACATCTGACACTAGTCCACACCCTAGTATGAATGTCCATGCTTCATAGATTACAAGCCTTTAAATATTCCATTTATTTAGTTTTAGACAGTTATTACATGCTTGATACACTTTTTTCCATATCATAATTATGTGTCAAACTTGTATTATACGGGAAGTGTTTCTACAAGACTAGAAGCCTTTCAAATCTTTGATTTCACCAAAACCGTGTTGATATACACGACGATTAAAGATGATAAAAATGTTATTACATAGTGAGCTGTTGTCGGGAGTACTTTTGACTTCTTCCAAACCAAGCAAAAGATCTACCATTCAGCTAGTTTTCATTGAGAACATAGTGAAAGAAGAACAAGAGTAATGGAAAAAGCAAATTCCCGTCCAAGTGGAGGAGTATAATATGATGATGTCGTTAGGAACTAGCCAACCTTAACATCCGTTGAAATATTGCTGGAAAAAGCAAATATAGTACCCTAATCCAATCACTTTTGAATTTTCTTTTTCATCCTATTTTTCTAGAATACGTTGAAACCTACAACATGAAGTCATTCAAGTCTTGACATAAAGCAATTTGATTTTAATATATATAATAAATTAAATTCAAGTAGTTACAATCTATACTATTACTCCCTTTGTCCCATCAAATATGTCCATTTGTTAACTCTTTTTTTTTTGGTTAATTTTTTTTTAATTTTGACTCATTATTATTTAAAATTTATTATTGATAAAAATATGAAAAAAATATATTTTAAAAACCTTAAACCAAGTAATTTTTAAATATATACTTTATAAAATTTAATTATTTAAATAATCATAGTCAAAGTTTATAAATTTTTACTTTTAAAAAGTAAATAATGAACATATTTAATGGGACGGATGGAGTATTAAATATATGATTGGGTTCCTTATTTTAAAGGATAATAAATATTATTTTAATGATTTTTTTCAAAATATATTTTAGATAAAATATTTTCGTTCACCCAGGTCGAGATTGTAACAAAATCTAGTAGACTTTAATTATAATACAAAAATTTGAATTTGAATTGCCAAATTATAATAAAATAAAATATTAAACCGTGATATTCTCTATTTTAGAAAAAAAAATATATAGGATTATTATATGATAAATTAAATATTTTTTCCCAAAAACATTTTTAATCTACTACTACATATCTTTAATTAATATTTACATAAAATATTAAAGAATAAATTATGATAAAATAATGCTATTTGTGGAAAAAAAATAACTAATCAAATAGTTGTCTTAACTACATGATTGATTATATTTGTTTGTGTTTTGTCCATTTTACCTCTCTAATTTTAAAAAACATGATATATGGTCACTTTGGTTTTTATTTAATTAAGATGTGGTCACCACGAGTTAACTGTCTTTAAATATTTTGGTATAATCCCATATTTGGTCTCTGTTATTTACATAATCTCTCAATTTAGCCATACTTTTAATAAATTAAAATAAAGATAATCCTCCAATCGAATGATGTCACATGTCGCTGGTGTCACATGTCTTGCCACGCTTCACCATTCAGTTGGAGGACTAACTTTATTTTAATTTAATATATTTATTTAAATTAAAAAATTAAAATAAAGTTAGTTCTCCAACCGAATGGTGACACATGGCATGACACTTGACACCAGTGACACGTGGCATCATTCAATTAGATGATTAAATTTATTTATTTTAATTTATTAAAAGTAGTATTAAATTGAGAGAATATGCAAATCATAGGGACCAAATATGTGATTATACTAAAATACCACATATAATCTGTTAACTGTTAACCGTAGTTAACTCATTGTGACCACATAATTAAATAAAAACGAAATTGAACATATCTTAATCAAATAAAAACGAAATGACCATATATTATGTTTTTTGAAACCAGTGGGGAAAAATAGATAAAACACAAACATAAGTAATCAATCATGTAGTTAACCCTAAATTATATTATCAAATATATATATATTATTGAAATATTACAGAATATTAAAAATCAGAGACTAGTATTATTATCCTATATCTTGTCCTAGACAATGACAACATAGGTGCTTCCAAACGCAAGAAAACACAAAGCCCACCCAATTCGAATTCAACCTTTACCATCATGGAATACGCGGCAATCTAGTAGCGCAACTTGTTTCGTACAGCCTAGCATGATCGGATTTCCTTTTTCCTTGTTTGTTTCTATCATTATTTTATGAAAATTTCTAAAAATAAATTTAATCAAAAACAAAGCAAATAAAAATAGGAACATACTTGATAAAATCGCATATCCATTCATATATAAAATAAAATTTGCATATTAATTATACTAACCTGAGATATGTAACCCCTGCTAAAAAGCCTCCATCCTTTGCATTCTGCAAACCCCATTAAAATCAATAACTAATCATTCTTTTTAAAAACAAAGGAACACTCTAATCAAAATAGTTAAAATAAATTAGAACATTTTCAACTTTGAAACTTAACATTTATGTAATTAGAAAAAACAACTTAAAAGGCTAAGTAGGAATATGTATGTGTGTGAGCAGCTCAGATGATAATTCTCCCAAAAGTAACAATTATTGTATGTAACCTATTTCAGTCAAAAAATACAGTAAAGCCTAGGGACACGAAGCAAAGGTATACCAACATTAAAGCATGAATTTCTTTTTAGAAAAGCAGTAAGATTCAGTTAAAACGAACTGTTGAGCAATATGAAATTACCGATCGGCGAAGAACAAGAAGATGAAGAGGCGGATTCAAGAACCAAGAAAGCAATTCGAACGAAAAGGAAAGGCAAAACGATCCCCAATACCAAGACAACCGGCAACAGCGTTCGGCTTGATAGACGTCCACGCGCAGCCGCGGCACTGGGTTCTGCCACCTTGGCTCCTTTGTTCCCTCCACCTTCAATGGAGTTCGATACTGTAACCCTCTTTATCCCTGTTGTTGATATGTAGGACTTCATGATTTTCCCTCGACTTTCTCCTCATTTCCATTTAATCCAAACAAGATCAACTCGATCATTGTTCAACGCTAGCATTGAAATCTTTGAGAACAAATGATTTTTTTTAATTAAATTTTTACAAAGAAAAAAGAATAATTTTTTTTTTGGAAGGAATCGAAATAGGAGTGGAGAGTAGTGAGTGTGAAATGCGAATGTGATTAATTTGGTGAGAGCTTCTTTTCAGATAGGGGCTTGGTTTTATGTCCAATTACGGAACAGCCCCTTCAATTTTTAACTATTCTCACCGACAACACAGAGAATCTGGTACGCGGGTTAGGCCTGCTGTCTCCCTCTTGCAATTTAACTTGCTGATGATTAATGTTATAATGGGGGCGGTCTCATATATTATTTTAATATATATCAAATGAGATTTTTATGATAAATATTTTAATATATATATATATAGATCTTAATATCCATTTACATTAATACAAAATCAAATGAGATTTTTATGATCAATATTTTAATAAATTAATCATTGTATTTAAGGTAAAATATATAAATGATCCCTCAACTATTACAAGTCCTAGTATCGGTATCGGTGTAGATCAATTTTATTTAACATCTAATTTTCTTAAATATAGCAAAAGAAGTATCCATACTCTCAAAGACAGTATTGATACTCCCTATTCTAAACAGTTTTATTTTGTAGCAATTAAAGTCAAAAACGACTATAATTTAACCCCTAAGGCTCCAAATGAATAGCAACTCATTCCAACATATAAAAAAAGTCAAAAACACTTGAAAAATGTTACAAAACCTATCCAATCTAAAAAAACAAGATAAAAGAGTCTTTCATTCTTATTTTTTATTTTCTCTTGTAAGTAGTGTTTTGAGCTAAATTGAATATTTGTATATTCGTTCTTTTTGAGCTAAATCTTTGTAAATACTTACCTATAGAGGTCTTCTTGTTTACACAAATTTGTCATTTGTAAAAAAGGAAACGATTTTAGTTTAGCCTTTGAAAAACTAGAGAATTGTAAAGGTTACACCTAAGCCTAAAAAAGGTAAGAACAAATTAGTGAATTTGTTAGAAATCCTTATTGTGGAGCTAAGGTAGTGGATGTATATTTCAATGAGGAAGTTGAACTAATATAAATTCTTGTACAAATTGTTTATCTTTCTTTGCTTCCATGCCAAAATTTTTAAATGGCAATTCATCCCCTCTTGGCTTATTTTGGTTGATCATTAAAGCCTCAATAGTCCTAACAATTGATATCAAAGCTTGACTTATTTGAAGGTCTAACAATCTATTAAGACGATTGAAAAGCTCTAGTAATTTCCAAGTCAATCGAGAAAGATGACTTTTTCTTCCGGCTCCTATTATATTGGAGATTTTCAACCGATCAACAAGTCACCTTATTTCAATAGAGCAAATTATGCCTATTTGGAAGAATATGATGATGTTTTCCATTCAAACAAACGATCTATGAGCTTGGAACTCCACCATGAAGAGTTTTTCTACTTTAACCAATGATATGGATGATTGAAGTATAGAAGAAAAGAAGAAGTTCTAACTCAATGCCAAGGCCATGCACATTCTATTTTGTGCACTAGGCTTGAATGAATATTCAAGTCTCCTCTTGTTTAAATATCAATGAGATTTAGAAAAACTCTAAGTCACTCGTGAAGGAACCGATGAAGTGAGGAAAACAAAAATCGATCTTCCCAGCCATTACTATGAGAACTTCAAGATGAAAATGGATGAAGTTATCAAAGTTATGACAAATAAATTTTTGGCATAATGCAATAAAATACCCCTAACATTTGACAGTATTGTCAAATTTGTCCCTGTTCATTTTTTTTTAGCATTTTTACCACTCAACGTTTCATTTTTGGTTAAAAACACCCTCGTTTGATGAAAACCAATAGTCATACTGACGGTCAACGCTTGATGCTGACCAAGCATATACATGTGGAGGGAGATGATGATATGGCGTGTCAAGGTCATGATACATGATAACATAGCAATGCCATATCAGATTTTTTAAAATTAAAAATATTATTAATATTTAATTATTTATTACCAATTAGAGAGTGACACATGTCACTCTTCAATTGGTTCTAGTTAAAAGGAACTGTTATTTGGCATTATGCCTAAGAGGAGACTCAAACTTGGGGAAGAGGTGTGAAATGGCATAGCTTTTGTCAACATACCAAGCTGCTTACTTGATTAAATAATGAAACAAACTTTATACAATTACATTTAAATTTAATGAAAAAATTAAACACATGTTTCTAATCTCATTTTTCTCTATACAAGATTATTCCCAAACTCTTCTCATAATCTTATTTTTCCCATACCTGATTATTCCCAAAATATTAGGGTTTATAAACCCTAATTTATCAAATAATTTTCCATATTTTAAAATTCCCAGTTTATTCAAAAATATGGGTGAGGGAAAGGATTACACAATCTGAAACATGACATTTCTAAATTCTTCTCTGCAATCATTTTAAAAGTGAAAGCAACGTCCCCAAAATTTGTATAGGAGTAAATTCATAAACCTCTCCCATAAACTGCAACCGGATCGAAATTTCACCATTGGGGCTTTCGAAAGTTTCGAAAGGGAACAACTTGAGCTATTTTAAACCTTTTCCCCAAGTAGCTTGGTATGGTTGCAAAAGTTATGCCATTTCACGCCCTTTCCCTAAGTTCTAGTCGTATCCTAACATAATGACTTTCAATAGTTCCTTTAAACCATCAGGAGAGTGACATCACTCTTTGATTGGTAATAAATAATTAAATATTAATAATGGCATTTTTATTTTTTAAAAAAATCTAATGTGGAACTGCCATGTCATCATGTACCATGACCTTGACATGCCACATCAGCATCTCCTTCTATATGTTCGTGTTTGGTCAACATCAAGCATTGACCATCAATTGACTAATGGTTTTCATCCAACGAGGGTGTTTTTTGACCCAAAATGAAATGTTGAGTGATAAAATATTCCAAAAAAAAAAGAATAAGGATAAATTTGACAATACTGTCAAACATTAGGTGTATTTTGTTGTTTTATGTCTAAATTTTTTATGATTGTCAATGGTCTCAAGGGATATGAAGAAATCATCCCTAATGAAAAGCTCGTTAGGAAGATGATCTATGCTCTTTCAAATTCTTAGTAGTCAAAAAGGACGACAATCATTGAAGCAAAGAACCTAAAATTTCTCACTCTTGATGAACTTATTGGTTTCTTGCTCACCCATGAGTTGATGATAAATGAGGAAGAACAAAAAGAACAAGAGAGAGAAGAATAGAGAGAAGGAAAGAGAGAAGTGAGTGTTGCTTTGAAATCCTCTACACAAGATGAGAACACCTCTAGTGAAGAAGAACATGAAGAAGAAGAGATGGCCAAGCTCTATAAAAGATCTAAATGATTCATGACATCAAAAGGAAAAGATGTAAAGCATGGATCAAGTAAAAAGAAGAGTCCCCCATATGCTTCGAATGTCAAAGATTGGGACATGTCAAATATGAATGTCTTCTAAAGAAAATGGATCTAGCAAGAAAAAAGCTTTTGTGGCTGCTTGGAGTGATGAGAACAACTCTAATGATGAATACGCAATACTGAATCTTTATCTCATGGTCAATCAAGAAGATTCAAATGTATCTTCTAACTCAAATGAATTCAATTTATATTTTTTAATGAGTTACAAGATGCTTATGATGAATTATGTTTAGAACTTAAGACCATAAATTCTAAATATAAAAAATTAATTTCTAAATTTAAAGTTGAAAATTATTTTCTTCTGAAAACAAAATTGGATTTCAAAAAACAAAATGAAATTTTGAGAAAAGATTTGAAAATTTCAAAAATTTAAAATTGAAAATATTAATTTAAAAGTTAAGCTTGAATGCTTAACAAAAGAAAAAGAAATCATTTTAAATAATTCATCTAGATCCATAATGACAAAATGATCACATCACAGTCATGGTTTTTCATACTTGTCATATTAAAAATAAAAAATATTTTAAAATTAGACAAGTATGGGTTCTTACAGGAACTAGGGACATTGAAACTAATATTCAAGGACCCAAAGTAATTTGGGTATCAAAATATAGGTAAATGTATCTTGTAGGTATATTGGAGAAATTATGAGAAATGCAAAGGAATTTGAATGCTTTAATCGCACAGAAAAAGGATCGATAACCTCGAAACTTAAAGATCTTTGATTTTATTTTGTCGTTGTCAATTTGTTATTTTAATGTATGAGTATTGAGCATGATTGATTATGTAATTTGTTATCTCATACATAATGAAAATGTATTATGATGAACATTCTTTTTGTTAAATGTTTTTATCAATTTTACTTCATCATAATATTTTTGGTTATGTTTTTAATTTTTTTATATATTGACCTTAATGTGATTTTATTGAAGATAATTTTTAAAACAAGTGATATCCTTGATTCATTGAAAAAAAATGGAATCACTTTAACCTTATGATGTCAAGAATGATAATATTTAAAAATGTTTTTTAATTAATATTGTTTTTCTTTTAAATGCTAATGCATATATTCTCATTAGCAAATGATATCATTCTAATAATTGATATCCATATTAAATGCTTGATATTGTCTAGTGCTTTATGCATGTGATATTCAATATGTTATATCTTGTTATTGTATAAAATGTTAAAATCTTGGATTTATTGAATTTCATATGCTACTAATGTATTTTCTCTTTTATCTTATTAAAATTCAATATCTATTAAGTGTTAATTTTTTGTGCCAAAACTTTACCTGAAACGCTTTTATTAAGGGAAAGTTTTGTTTTCAAAAAGATTTTTGTATTTAAATTTTATTTTGTTTTAACTTATTCTCTATTGTTATTTTGAATCAATGAAGTCTAAATTATTTTTGACATAACAAAAAAAGAGAGAAGTAAGGTTTGAAAATTTCATATTCTCAAAGAAAAAGTGGGAGCTTAAAATATTTCCAAAAATTTTATATTTTTCAATAAATATTTTCTTTGAAGAATTTTTGTCAAAAACTATTTTTCAAAAATTGTGTTATATCAAAAATGGGAAATTATTAAACCTATATTTTGATATAATAAATAAGGGGAAAATATTTTTGGACTTGATTGAAATTGTTCA